TCATTAGTGTGAATAATATACTTCAAACTTCCAGGCACTGACAAAGCTATCTCTTGTGAAAAGACACACGGACTGAGAAGCAAAAGAACATAACCTCGTTAGAAACCATGACTACAAATGCCATGAAGAGTAACTAAAATGTGTACGACCTACAGAGTGAGCACTGGTCTTCATTTGAGACAAGTATTTGCTGAGGACAGCAACACTTAAAACACCCATTATAGCACTTAGTCTTGGGTGCAAAATGGGTCATTTCAGGCAAAACCTTTGCTGACTGCAATTTCACAGGCAGAGGTTGGCTTGAAGCTTTCCATCTAGACTCTGCATTAACTCAGTATAAAAATGCAGCGTTTAGGGAAGCTGCCCAAGCGAGAAATGTGTTAATTAACAGTGTCCCCGACTCCACACTTCCTATGGTTAATGGAAGTCGTATCTAACTTGTTACTTACAAACCTGTCACAGAATGATTATGAGCTATTTTTTTCTGCCTTTCTGACAGGCTGAACACTTCACCAGGACAGTGAAAGCACAGTGAATGCTTACAATATAGTAGGGAAGGTTATATAACATGCTGCAGGAGTACACTTGAATCTGTGAATGGCAGGTATCTTGACAAGCTGCTTAAAATGGTTAACTTGTGATTTCTAGTGTTTCAGCTATTTTATTTTGAGAAATGAATGATCATCAAAAGACATTTAAACTTTAATTTCAGGCTAGTTGTTATTTCAGTATTATCATTAACAGTAAGCCATCATTACCTTCTGCTTTAGTTGTTGTTTTTTTTTACATTTCCTTGGATTTACTTTCAACTGAGTAGGTGGGTTTCCTGATGGAAAAAAAAAAAGGGATCACAAGCACTTCTTCCACAAAACACATCTTGTGGCTTCTGCTGATATAAAGTGAGGATGCTCTGCTTAGTCAGTTTCTTCCTGTTTGAAAATCACTGCAATAGCTTGATGATAGAAGAGTGATCCAGATTGCTAAACAGGGAATTATACACTTGACAGAATCATCCACTTAGCTACTGAAAATCATTTTAATACACATCCTACAGTTTGTCCAGATTGAATTGAATTGTGTGTATTGGAGGTCTCATAACTCCACCCTTGACTAGCTATAGATGGCTGGACAGGGGACACTGTTTGGGCTTTTTTTCCTCAGAGCTCCTGTGAGGAGTTTTCAGCTGGTTATGAAACAGACTGAAATTAATATTGATACTTCTCTTTGACCTACAAAAGCTAAAAAGACCATTAGAGTGAACACTGACTATTTAAGTATTTATTAAGCCTGTAATCACTACTGCAGGGTAAAGGTGTCAGATGAAGCCATAAACAGCATCCTGCACAAACAGCCTTTCTTTTAACATTTTCAACAAATATCCATGGTGAGTGACATTGTTTGACTCCTAAAAGGAAGCAGGAGGCTGTTTTTGTAAAGAGCACAACTTTCACATGTTGATGACAAAATCACTGATAAAAGGGAACTCCTTTGTCCACAGGGGGCGCTAATATCAACACAAACTAAAACATCCCAGCAGCTTCAATTAAAATGTCTCACTACATTGTGTGTAATTCCCCTGACAGCAGCACAGTAGTTGAGGCAACAGAAAAAAATGCAAGAGAGCTTATATGTACATGAGTCTATTAGTGTTCACCCCCCCCCCCACCATTCATTTGGAGTGGCGGCCTGCCAACCCAACGTGATCACCAGCCAAAAGAAAGGAACACAGTAATTAATTTAAGGAATTTACTTAATTTATGTGCACTCGTTTTACTTTAGCCGAGCATGAACATCTTCCACCTGTTTCACTGTCCTGTTCAGCCAATTGAGAAATACATTTCCAGAATGCCGGTACAGTTTACAGCATGTGATTGGGTTGGCAGCATACATCCAGCATGTACATTTACCTTGAGTCCACCCCTTGTTGATGTCGTTTGTAGACACCGACCCAGTACTCTGACGTTAGACTGCAAGCTAAACAAACAGGCATGCCTGTGACATAAAGCCTGGCTCACACTGTGCGATTTATCCCCGATTGTATAAAAGTCGAGGTGGCATGTCAGCTCACACTGTACGACTGGATCGTTTACGACGCCCGACCAGACCTTGAGATTTATGCGCTCACACTGTACGACCTGATTGTCGGACACGGCCGGAGAGCTCACACTGTACGAGTGAAATCGTGACGGAGCGTTGACAGTTGTTAATAAAGTTTCATTTGAAAACTCCATCGGACGGCGGTTGGTGAAAGAGAAGGAAGTGAAAGTTGTTGTAGGATATATGAAAGTAGAAACAATCGTAGATATATGGATACAAGTTTCAGAAAATTGCTGCACTGATGATCTGCACTGAAAAATCCCACCCAAAAAAACGCCGGGTTGCATCCTGCCGCTGGTCGCCATGACTACATTCCTCCCTTGTCTCGCGTGATTATATTGTAGTCACACACAACTTCTGCCGGACCCTTTCATGACGTAATCGTCAAGATTTGACATTCTAAATATCAAACATTACTTTGTTGCATGTACCAATTCTGCACGCTGCACCATATAAACAAACAACACTCTTTTCTGAAAACATCTCCTGTGAGTTTTGTCTTGTGATAAGCGGAGTCTGAGTCAGAGTCCGACTCTGTGTCTCTGTGGGTATATTAAACACACACATTGCAAATAATCCCAATCTCAAACATTTTCTAACGCTCACTCATTCATCATTTGGAACCAAATTGTGCTCTGATATTTTAAATTTGGTTAACATTTTGTTCAGACATGAATCATGCAGAATAAACAATAAAACCGTGAATGACTCTGAAAGCACCATAACCTTTTTATATTCAGTCCCCTCATGTTTACAGAAGTTACGCAAAGCCCAACAGGCCGACATATTGTATTGTAAATGACCTAAAAATATGTTATGGTATCATTTTAAGCTTAATAAAGTAACAGCAGAGGTGCAACATTAAAATATTCTTGGCCAATATCTTTAAAGACCAAAAAAGAAGACATATGAATTAAGTCACAATTAAAAATAACAGGTCAACGCTCCTAAAAGATAAACCTGGGGGAAACACTTGACAATGGTAAGATGAATATTCTCTGTATCTAAATAATGACTTAATAATTGACAGACAGGCTCTACTGTTCTGTACTCTCAACCTCCACTGAGCTGTGTACCACCAATCAACACATCTAATCTAACTTCAGGTTTGTGGTAGTTTGAACTTATGAACAGGGAGTGACAGGGTATGAAGGCACAGTTGGTGAGCTGCATGTCTGTAGAGGACAGTGCAAATCAACTACAGCTGACAGGTTGCAGTCTTGATTGGCAGAGTGCTGCAGTCATGAGGTCTGAGGAACACACAGGGTCAGCATGTGGAAAAATAACAAGACACGGTCGTTTCTCCAAACAAATACCATCACGAGCAGACTTTACACAACAATGTCCATCCAAAACTGTACAACTACTGTACTGTTGCTGAGGAGCTAGTCCCTCTTACAGTCTACCTGTGCCTATGTTATTACATATAACTTGGTTAGAGGCTGATAATATGACACCTTTATAACTGATAATTATGTGGGGAAAAACAAGCATGACCTGAAAAAGGAAATAACTCTAAATAATGCCTAGCAGAGAAATAAAATATCAATGGTTTAAATGGTAAAAATCACCAGTGTAAGCAAGTCTTTGTATCAAGGAAAACTCCCAGTGGGGCATCTGGTGGTGATAAAGGATTACATTTGCACTAATACACAACATGAATACAAAGGCAGACTAATGGAGAGAAAATCATCCTTTGGATTAAACATACTGACATAATTCTAGCTGCATGGGAATATGCCACTTTGTGACATGAAGCCTTTGTTATCAAATCTGTTGACAGGGGACATTTCTTTGAACCGTCCTCACTGTACAAGAGTAGACCACCGTTTTTTGTTGTTGTAATTATCTTCAATGTGGATGAGAGGGGAAGGAAGTGCACATAATAAGACTAGTTGTTTTATCCTACTGTGAGTAGCCTACTATTTATACATTCATAAACAATACAAGGGGTAACCTAAGGATATAGTCTACTTAGCCTATATCTGTTTAGCCAGTGTGCCTAGAAGAAAAGGGGTCCTTGTTTACAAAATAACTATGTTCTTGCTGCAGGGTCAGGGTTATGATGTCAATGATGAATAGCCAAATGATATGCATTAGCTTCTTGACAGTAACTTTCTTATTCAAAATAAAAAAATAAGTAAAAATGACCAATAGGCTACTCTCGGATTCCAGCTCATTCCTCTCATTTTCTCACCCTAACGGGATATTTTGTTGTTTTTGGCTACTGTTTCGTTTAAAGCAAAAAAAAAAGCCATCCGGCATCTTCATGAGGTGTTGAGGGAGAGGTAACAGGCTCCTTCATTTCCCTCTGTCAGGCTGCAAAACCAAACAGTTATTGGCCACACTATTAATCGAGAAAGTAGGCTAATGGCAGGATTAGTCGGTAATCATTGTCAGTTTCGACTATTACCGAAGTCAACGCTGTTCTGTAATCATGCATGAAAGCAGTGACGAGCCTTTTCAGGGAAGAGGAAGCGAGGTGAAAAGACTTCTTGTTGTTAACAGTCTCCAATTGTGTGGACTTTTATATCAGGTAAACAATAGGCTACAGTTGTATATAAAAATAAAAATTAAAAAAAATCATACAGTTTGATTGAAACATGGCAAAGACAATGACGATAAAGGAGGAGAGCTGAAGAAACACGGAAAAAAAAAGACGCTTGTTCCTTTCCCGAAGGTTAAAAATCCCGTACATCCCGTTATTCTACGTGAATGCGTATTTTCATGCAATCGTTAAACAGACATCTAGCACTTAAAATGTACGCCAGCTATAATTCCTGTAAAACACAGCAAGGAGTCAAACATCAATCGGGCTGAAGAAAATACCGTGTTATGTCTTAACGGTACACAGTACAGAGGAATGTTGTCCTGGCTTTTACAACAAAGACGAACCGACTCACCATAGTAAGAAGAGGGAATGTCCGTCTTTCTAGCCATGGCACTTAGTAAGACAGATGCAGCACCGTCGTGTAGGGTTTGGAGACCGCATATGAGAGTCGAGAAGGTGAACCGCAGTTATTTCAATGCCTTTCCGTGGTCCCGTGGAGAAATAAACACTGCAACCTGGAGAGGTCTTTTCGGGTTCTGTGAGGATGCTTCGGCCACGCAGCTGAGCGTCAGTCGTGTTTACAGCACGACGTCATTAATTATTCCAAAACGGTCTTAAAGGGGACGCAGTGCTCAGTGGCTGTTGTTGCTGAGTATCTCTTTTCCCCCCCTCGTTGACGTTATGACGTGATTTAAAGCACACATTTGCATCGTTTTGTGCCGATTCTCGGATGACATGAACATTTTAAGTATTCAGGCCTATATCAAAGTCTCTATCGAACAGAGACTATTACGCGCGCCTTTTCTATGCAATCTCTATGTAGAGATTTTCAAGTTGCCCTTTTTCTGGCTGATTAATAATACAACAACTATTGCAGGTAGCCCAGTATTTTTGGGTGGCAGTGATAGGGCTGTCCTCACTGAGGTGTCCAAAAGAGAAATACTGACATCAGCTGGCTTTTCTCCGACATTGCAGATACTTTTGACTCAGAGAAAAACAAAAGTGTAGTCAGTCAGGAGTTTTCATTTTTAACCTAAAATTAAAAGTGAGGGTATCAAGTCTTTCACTGCAAATTGCTCATATAGCACAAATTTTTATCTTTTTTTTTTTGTCTTTAAGTCTGCCTGTTAACTTTCGTTTGGTTCTAATTCATATCATTTGCATTAACTCTATATTTGGGGAAAACATTTAATTTAGGTCCTGCATAGGTGCTCCCACTATAGCTGACTAGTTCAAAGTAAATGGAGCAACTATAGGTCAAAATATTTTATAACAAAAATCTACTAATCAAACAGGTGCAGAAAAGATTAATGAGGGCCATTGAGATGTAAATCATGCACCACGGTGGTACTGGGAGGGGTCTGAGAAAGCATTACACAATAGAGTGCATATTTGTTCAGACCATTGTGGGTGACCCTCTTGATTCCATCAAGCACTGTCTATTGTTATATTATGTATTAAAACAATCCATCATCATTTTTAAATAGTATAGCCTAATTTACAGATGAAATATTCTTTAAAAAAGAGGAAAAAATCGATAAATGAAGTGGAGGAAAGGAAAAAAATACTATTTGCATTGGAATGCAGAGAACAACAATATTCAAGAACTAAAACATGCTTAAGAAAAAAAAGTAGTATGAGCTCTACACATTATAAACTCCAAACAGATACCCATCGATTAATGTCTTAGATAGTTCATATAGTGACTTTGACCAAGAACTGGCAGCAAAGACTGGAAATCATTCACAGCTGATTTAAGAGCCATAGGTGAGATTTACAAGCAGTATAAACAACGTAAGATCAAGAAAGAAGCATGTTTTATCTGTGACATCTGCAGCCAAAGGGATTCACCCTTAATCTTCATGTTACAAGCTTTTTAATAAGAGAACATATACAACGTTAAAATACTGTGCATTTTACGAAGAATAAATTAGAAATGGACAGGTCATTTGTATTACAAGCTGTTTTCTAAAAAGTGATGTCTTGCTGTTAATGCTGTGTAGATAAAAGAAATGAGAAATCAGGTTGCCAAAGGCCAGTCATTAAGAAGGGATTGGATTCCCTGGGACAGATAAGATGTACCAGGATCAGCTCATGGCACACAGAGAGACTTATAATCACATTATTGCCAAGTGTAATATAGTAAATGTAGAACAATCAATCTGGGTGACAGAGGTCTAATTCAGTGGTAGGCAACCCTTTATGGCTGAGGAGTGTTCCTACAGATCTAGAGCCTATTGGTGTAAAGGGTTGTCAAGCAACAGCACACAACACAATCAAAAAGGGAAACCAACAGAGTATTTTCAGAAGATTTAGAAATGTATACAACAGATAAATGGATGGATTTTAGATGTTTTTATATTACATTTGGACATTTCTGTTGTGTGCATGTTTTATTGTTATTATAAAAGTGTTGCTGTTTTGCCTTACTAACTTGTTTTCTAATTTCCCATGTTTCATTATTTTAATGAGTAGTGGTAAAATATTCATATTGATCGCATGCAAGCCAAGGTTAAGCAAATGATTTGTTATTGGCATTAGTGCCATCATTCTAAACAAGGACAATGACACATTTCCTGGGTGAATTGTGTTCTCATCTAAGAATCACTGTATTTTCAAGAGTTGGCAGCCCATCTGCTTGTCATTCTGTGAAAATGATGCATGCCAACAGCTTGCTAACTATTCACCACATAATGGAGGATGGCCGTGACAATTACAGGGACATTTGTGGTGGTTTAGTTTGCATGTCTTTTTACAGTTTAGATGGATGAAGATGCTCCAAACACAATCTTTTTCTTTAGAATTCAGTGGTTACAATTGCTGCAGATGAACCCTTCTGACATTTAGAAACCCAAAGTCCCACCATACAGGAGGAGATTCAATAGAGCAGTAGTAGCACAATCTAGGTGGTTATTTGTCTCCTTTCCAGTCCATTGGGTACACACAATTCCACATTAAGTATAAAAAAAATGCTTCAGTGATAAGTTTGGAGCCAGTCCATGATGAGTCAGTTTGCAAAGATAATGACTTTGTTTTATCTCTCAGGCCAGAAAATGCAAGATTATAAATCATTGTCTCTGTATCCAGGGGCTTTCTTTTAAACTTTTGTCACAGCTTAACAATTATTTATAATTTCTTATCCTCTACATCTTTGCTTCTTTTGTCCACTTCTTTTGTCTATATTCATTTTATTGGGTTTATGTGTTGCTCGGGTTACTTTGGTGCGTGTTTGGGTTCTTTTGTGTTTGGGTTCTTATAATTTGTTCTTAAACGCGTTTGTTTTTATGTGAAGCACTTTGTTAACATTGTTTAAATGTGTTTCAAAAGTAAATACATATTTATTGAGATGTTATTAATGTTTCTAGAAAATAATAATAAAAAATACCTTTGTCTGCAGAAGGTACAGAGATTGATTTAGAGAATTTGGTTGATTCATACTTTTATCAGGGCAACATTGATATTTAAGTTAAAATGTTCCAACATCTGCACCGATCTGCTTTTACAAAGAGACAAGAGGGGAAAGAATATTTAATTTTGTATCATTGGCATTAAACAAATAACATAATTTCAGTGAAGTTCAGCATACAACATTGCCCATAAGCTACAGGTACTGATGTTGTCAGGGATGAACAGTGGTGCAGCGCCTCACAGTGAGGAGGTTCATAGTTTGAATCCTTGTTGTACAGGGCCTCCCAGTGTGGAGTTTGTCATGTTCTGCCCCTCGTGCATGTGTGGGTTTTCTCCCAGTACTCTGGCTTCCTCCTTCAGTCCAAAGACATGCTTGTTAGATTAATCCTCTACACTGCCTGTAGGTGTGAATGTGAGTGTGGCTGGTTGTCTGTCTCTATATGTCAAGCGAGCACGCTAACAGTCCAGGGTGTACCCCGCCTCTCGCCCAAAGGCAGCTGGGATTGGCTCAAGCCCACCGCGACCCCTAACGGGAAGGGCGGTATAGTAAATGGATGGATAAATGTGGTCAACTAAGAGAAAACCTTCAGGGCTGAAAAATGAAGCCGGTGAAGTGTCAAAAATTGTAGTTCCTCAAGTGGCCACTTGAGGCTCATGACATTAGCAGCTCAATCCCCATTAAATAGACAAATTTGACAGTAGAATTAATCATATTTAAAGGGCCCATATTATACTTTTTAGTGTGTTTTCCAAGTGTCCTGTGCATGTTTAGGCACATCTATTTGCAAAAAAAGTTTGCGGAAACGCAGCTTCTCCTACCTCCTCCTGTTAGCTGCAGCATTAGCTGCATGTAACGCTCGGTTCTAGCCCCCCTCGAAATTTCTTTGCCAGTATGACGTCTTGTCAGTGTGATATCACTGATCTAAGCCCATTGGCTCGTTGTGGAAGCCCAGCAGCTCATGTTGTATGCCCGTTAACTTCTGTGGCACGCCCACGATATGCCGTAGCCTGCGGTAGCACAGTAGTGCTAAGGTGTTAATGTTTTTGCTCCCCGGCCCTCGGAGCCAGAGTGGCTGAGCAACTGACCAATTACGGCAGAGCCGACAGACCGACCAATCAGATCAGACTTGGCACAGGAGGGGACTCTGAAGGTGGGCACTTCAGAGCCTTAGAGAGAGAGTCAGAAGCGAGCCGGTGCATGGAGCGGCAGTACATGAAAACAGACACTTTTTTTTAACTTTAGCTATTGTGAACGTACTTTGGTAGGTACATTAAATTAAATTAAATTAAATATACGAACCCCAAACAGGGCATAATATGGGCTCTTTAAAGCCTGCTATAGAAAACCTCAATGGCTTATCTTTCTGATTATGATAACTTCACAGGGATTGGCATTGTATATAATATAACTATTTAAATAGTTTTAAGCCTTCAAGTTATGCATATTTAGGAGCATTGGTTGCTTTAAGTGGTGCAGCTGTCTTCAAGACATCAACATAGCTTATTCAGATAATTAACTGGACCTCTATGTTTGTGTAGTTCATTCCTTTGGGGATCTTTAATTCAATTATCTCAGGTTTTGAGAGCTTTGAGAGAAGACAGCGGTAACGCCATTAAGCCTTCTTACACAGGTGTGCATTTATTTGTAGGAATGCATCTGCATCATGAGATGATCAAAGCATCGTGTGTAAACTTGGGAGAAGTTACATTCATCCACCTAATCTGTGTTTAAAACATTTCTGGTATAACAATATATTAACAATATATTACATTTACACTTTGGGTTTTACTTTTTTAGCTACGATGTATTTGTGTTGTTTTCCTCTCTCAATTGAAATTAGCCGAGTGTGATTTATTTCTATAGTTTCTTATTGATGGGATATTATATCACTGTTGCATTTCCTGTTTCAGCCCATAGCAAGCTAGAGAGTCTGAAGAGGAACTTGTTTCAACTTTGATCAAATCTGGGCCAAAAACATAAAAGCAAAAACATGTTGTCCCCACTGTAGCTTTAAAGTAGGCTACCCGGATCTTTCTTGCAGCATCTGTTCTGGTTGGGTTTCTTTCAGATAAATTACTTCATCAATTCCCACAAATCCAAAGTGAACCATCCTGGCAAATCACAAAACAACACATTACAAAATGAATGTCTGTGCAGAGTGGTGATTTTACTCAATCTGGCATGAACACAATGGCTGTGTCCGAAATCACTCTCTTTTCACTATACTGTATGGTGTACTATGCAGCATAGTGAATAGGGAGTGATTTCAGACACAGCCTATGTCTGTGGACCCTTGTTTACAAAATGTATTTAATCTTCAGTTTGAATTTTTCTTATATCTTATGTATAGTGATAAGAAATTTGATTTTGGTAGCAATGCTTTTTTTTTAACTGCTGTTATTTCCTTTTTAAATGCCCGTGTTTTTATTGTTACATGCAAAACAGATCTTGTTTTTATTTTCTCTGAGGTACTACCTGACCTCCGTACATCATCAACTTCTGATCTGCTGCACCTGTGGGCTTGTCTACAAGAGCCTGAGTTAAGCTCCTCCCCTTTTTCCTCAAACTGCAGCCAGGATCATTAATGGCTTCAGCCACCACTTTTTCTTTTCTTTTCTTTGAGTATTTGTTTTACATTGTTTGGCAATTAGGAACAATTTTCCTTATTGTTTTCATGGCAACCTAAGCAGCAGAAGCTCATTGTGGGAGACAGACTTGCTAGAGGCTGTAATCTCTTCGGAAAGGAGCTGGGAAATTGAGAATGAGTATTTTTATAGACACCGTCTGAGCTGGCATCGTTTTCACTTCTAATGTTTTGTTCTCATCATCCCTCAATAGGTCTTGCTCCATAAACTGATAAGTATCCTCTGGCCTTGCTGAAATGCCATTTACCCAAGAAACACATTTTTCGAATTCATAAAACTTCTTACATTAAGACAATTGTCTAGAGAAGCAGAGTGGGATTTTCTGGCACAACTTCACCAACTACCAAGGTGCATGAAGTGGTCAAAAAGCTCTAGCAACACTTGTTGTATGAAGATTAACTTTATGAACAAATTAAAGTTGATCTTCATAATTTAAGTCTTCCTATAGCTATTTGACCTCTTCAAACTAAACTAATTTCTAACATTCAAATAAATTAAACCAAAAATCCTATTTTGAAATGAGTCTTAAAACATTTCATTAGAAACTAATTTTCTTATACTAAATCCATTACAGGGATATGAGAATATATTTTCCATTAAAACGTCATGTGATGAGAAAATGAGCTTTTCACACTGTGTGTTGAGAACGTTTACTTTTTCCGATAAGAGGCAATTGTGACATATTTTGTTAGTAAACTAGAACATCCAAAAATGTGCAATGTGGCATCAAATGTAAAAATATGTCTATAAAACACATTAATTTCATCATAATGTTCAGTGAGCCTTTATTTTTCAATATAATTTTGATATTCGGCGTTTCCTCCTTTGTTGGCCAACTTCCTACCTTTGTATGTTTTCCCGCTTCTGTCATTGTTTGCTCCGCCTCCTCACCTGTGCTGTGTCGGCCATATTGTGCTATCCGACCCTATTATTTAATACCCTCACTTTCCCATTGTAGCAAAGCCTTTCCCTGTTTCTGTGACAGTAGGCTATATGCTATGTCTCAAAACCAGCTTTTTCACAATCTTTTTTTTTAACCCCTTTTCAGGACCATATAGGCCTAAACCCATTTGTGAAAATTTGAGTCCTACCTTTTTTCCATGGACAACGAGATATTTTAGTTTGAGTTAGACCTATTTCGTCCTGCTTTTGGATTCTCTTCTTTCGTTGGTATGCAACCATGATTTGTTGTAATAAAAAGCTAATATGTAGGGGATACATTACAATGTCAAGTGTGAAACTAAGGTCTCATGAACCACCAGTGAAACCTGAAACTGAGGTAAGCTGGGAAATGGAGTTGTTTAGGACCATGAGGCGCACGCTGGCGAGTCCCTGTAGAGGAGCGCATGGACGGGAGAGGAGTGTTGTGTTGGAGCGTCGATCGTCTCCTCGCAGCGCTGATCCCGGTGATGCTGCCGCTCAAGTGTTGCATGCTGAAGACTCCAGACGCTGTGAGGGAGCTCTGGCTCCGATACGATGAAGGCTCGATGTGCGATGGGCAACGAGGGTAACTGAAGATGAAGATCAGAGTGGTAAGTCATGAAACCTGCTGAAAAATATGACTGTAATGATCCTCTGTGTGGAGTCTGTGTCCGTAGTCTGCCGTGACCTAGTTGCACTTTGTAGTGTTTTATTTTCATATATTGCAGAAGCTTTAATTTAACTTATTCTAATCAAAAGATTAGGATCCTATATATGGGCGAGTGAAGGTTTTTTTTTTTTTCCTGCAGTGGCGGAGTAACTGCAACATGTTTTATGTCAGCAGCATATAGTGCTTTTCTTTCCCACATGTTGCCCTGCTAATGTTGAGCACATTTGAGTGGCACAGCTGACATTTTATTTGCAGCCTTGCATGAGGAAAGAGCAGCTGCGATATCTGCAACAATCTGCTTTAAATACATCATACATTGTATCAGCACTCAATTCCTGACTAAAACCGTAGCCGCTTTACCTTTGTCATGTTTTTGTTGTGCTCCTTTTGAATTTGTGCTTTTCATTTATCTTTCCAGTGCCAAGGTGTTAGTGGCATCATCATCATCACCATGGTTACCAGTTTTATGTTGGTGTACAACAGCCGCACTGGGGACAGATCCTCTTCTTCGTCAGCGCAGTCATTGTCATCCCAGCGTTCAGATGGACCTGCTCCATCCAGAAAGCCACAGAGACCTCCAGTATCGACTCTGGAGGGATACACAGGTGTTATGGATCATAAGGTAAATATGCACCATCTGTGCTCACAGACGGTCTGTCCCCTGAAAGTACAGGTACAAAGATGATGGTTGTACTTCTTGTTTTCATATTTGATATTTGTTAATTCACTGCTTATATCCAGGTAAATTAATGTGAAATATAAGTCAAGTTTTACTGTTTAATGTTATATGGAAAGGTATTTGCACTTAACTTCCACACCCTAGCAACACTGTACAAGTCCTCCATCGGAGCTTTAGTACTATTTGGTATATTTTCTTTTTCTTACTTAAAGTTCCTCGACAGTAGTTTGACTTTTACTATTTTTTTTCCTACTTGAATGTTCATTACATTTGCACCAAAATACAGAGTCAAACTCGTATGTGTTAAAATACCTGGAAATGAACCCAATGCTTATAATAGTTTAGCACTTGGATATGATTGGTGGTAATATGATTGAACAGTGCAAAGGCACGAGATACTTCAGTGTACACTTAGGTGAAAAGTACAGAAATAGGGAGCAGTCACTTTGAATATCATATAATGTGTGTTGGATAAATCTGGCTCTTGTATGAGCTTCTATACATGGATTTTGTCAGTGCATTTAACATGTGTCCTTAAACATGACAGTTTAGGGTGCTGTGGAGGTTTAAAAAAATAAAAATAAAAAATCCTTACATTCACTCTTGCATATGTCTGCAACTCATCAGTATTCTGCTCTCATCCATGCAATGCAGGGAAACTAACATGTAAATGTAGAGTCCAGGTATGCACAAAAAATGGATTTTTGAAGCTTCCGGTGCTTTCTTGGCTTCAGAGAGAACTGAGAAATCCTCCTCTGCATGTGTGATCATTGTCCTAAGCTATCCTCACAGCTGAATACGTCGTGTGTTTTGGTTATAATAAGTGAGTCATATTATTTACAAAGTGTTGTTTTTTTTGAAGACTGTTTCTGGCAGTAGCAGCAAATTTATCTTCGTGTGGTAACTGGAAAATCAAATAAGAATTTATTTCAGTTTTGTTTCCATAATTACATAAATGAATCCCTTAAACATTCAACTCAAAAGCAGAAATTGCAGTAAAAGTATTTTCTTTGACTTCCCTCTGTTTATCCAGTTTCTTAATTTATAATTAATGTGTACACCATGAAATATTTAGCGACAGAAGCACATAAAACGGGATGCGTTTCTATCAGAACAGATACCTCACTGTTTTAACATTTTGGTCTTTTTAAGCTTTACATTCAATGATTTTAGCAGAGGCCTTTTATTTAGACCGGCAAGGTATTACAGGCAGCTCATTTAGATAATGGATCGTTTAAACAGCGTCGTGTAGCGAGTCACAGCCGAGAGGAGAGGATGTTGTTTCCCAGGATGCACTGGGCAGGACAAGTTTGGAGCACAGTTGATCTGTCAGTGGTTGATGTTCAGTGACGAGAGTGTGAGTTTGTTGAGAGGTTGGATCTGGCTAAAGCTTCCTGGATTTGTTTCTGTTTTTTGATGTGCTAGATTTTCAAGTGTAGGGCTCCTGAGGTGTTGTAACATAATTTCCCTTTCAAGTAAATGAAAAGGAAATATTAATTTAGAGATTAATAAAGGAAGCTGCTTCTAATCAGTTTTTTTAGCCACTGTAATATTCACAGTTATTCCTGGCCGACCACCTCCGACTGGCTGACAGCTGATTCATGATGTATCCGCACTGCAAAATCTTCAAACTGCTTAATGTCATCCCCCCTCCCTCCTCCCATGGGGGCTGCTGCTGCTGCTGCTGCTGCTGCTTCTACACCCTCACACAGAGCCTAGGGAATGACTAACCAGAGGAGACCTGCTGAGGGATCGTCAGAGTGGGTGGACGAGTCTGTACTTTTCCCTCCAGGGTCATGTGAGGTCTGCTACTGTTGGAGGGAATCGTTGCTTTGACACACACGTACACACATACACATATATACACGCACGAATGCGTATACACACACACACACACGTGCAGGAAACCCCAGGCAAATGCCCAGACACAATGTAAATGTTTAATGCCCTCATCAGAAATGCAAAGAGAGCTCTGTTAATGTGCCTGTCGGACCCTGTTTCAGGGTCCATATTAGCTTCTGTGCTATTTTTTTTTTCATAGGCTGTGATTTCACAAAGGCGGGTGGTGGTGTGTTGCTGCTTTCACTCTTTTCTGTCTCAACAATGAGATTGCAATACGGCCTTATTTACACATATATGCAATGCAAACTTGTTTATATTTTTTAAGGCTACGCATAATGGTGTACTTTCAACTTTTTAGTGCTCATGGTGGTATTAGAACTGCAAAGAAAAGGTTGAAATCATAGAATGTATAAAATACGTACATTGTCTCTGTGACAACACCAGTTGGGTTCTGAAGAGTCATTCCTCGGGTTGATGGAGAAGGCAACAAAGAGGTGGAGTTGAGGCCGGCCAAATGAAGTGAAGCCTAACCTCCTTGCAAACAGATACAGCGCATCAGCCTGTCAATCAAATCAGCCACATCCCTCAATATGCCTAATTATGCAAAACTCTTGGCCTTAATTTAATCAAAACAGATGAGTTCTAAGTTAACGTTTTAAATAATAAAGAAATAAACAATTGAGACTAAAACTGTTTTTTTTGTACCAGGCTGTAAACATGTTCATCCCTGCTGTAAAAATGGCCTTTAAATATGGCCTCAAATAGATACTCAAGGAACTGCTGTTTTTTGCACTACAGTACTGGCTTCATTTTTCAGCTACGACCGTAGCAGCTAACTTGAAATCCAATTTTTTTTAAAACAATAAAATTTCAAACATTGTATAACACAATATGTTGCATATTTTGAGCAACGGTCATTCATTCTGTTTCTGTGTGTGTGTAGTCTTAGTCTGCAGGTTTTCATGCGACGTGTTTCTCTAGCATGTTTTTTTTTTCATTTTCTTCACTCACCCACATTTAAGTCTGAACCGCTATTCTTCTGCTTTTGCTTCTCATCTTCTTTCAATCTCTGATGTTTTTCCAATTTAAGAGATGTTGACCTTTTTGAAGAACCATCAGCGGAATCAACCTACATTGGCCTTTCTGTGCGAAGCAATTGTGAGAGCATCCATGTGGAATGTGTGCCTGTGCCAGTATATGATGTACCTGCTTATTATGGGTGATAACTTTCTGTGCTCTGACAGCCTTTAATGCAGTCAGTCTGGGAGAAATGGGTGTCGTAAAAGAAAAACTGGAGTTATGCCGAAATATCTATGACAACCCCTTTCTAAGGTACAATTGAAGCCGTGTTATTCTGGAAGTATGTACCAGTTTCATTGTGGGTGATTATTCAGCAAATACAGGTAATAGGTAACATGACTTTGAAGGAGAAGAATAACATGCTACTTGATTACAGCTTGCCTTTATTCAGTGGAAATGAATGCAGAGCAAGTTTAGGATAGAGACTTGAATGTGTGTCACACAGAGGAGCTTAATGAGGTGTCAACTGTCTGGAGGATGTCTGTATAATTAATTAGTGTCAGAGAAAACTGAACAAAAGCTGATCATTAAATCCTCCAACACACAATACTTTTCACAAAATCCGCCTCCGCTCTCAGTCCGACCATTAGTACGATTCTCTATTACATGTACATGCTTTCAATGTAAACAGGTTAACAACCCAGCAGCTGGTTATATCACACATTTGTCACTGGAGGATGCAGTTGGTGATGTATTACATGAAGCAGTTTATCTCTTAAAAGGATTAATTCCGACTTTTTCCTCGTCCCTATAGACACTGAGTTAAACCGTCCTGGTGTTGCACTGTAGTTTCTTAGGAGTTTCATTAATCAACCTTACAGAGATAACTTGTAAATGAAACTCTTTGAATCCACAACTAACATGACAGTAGGGCATTTTTCATTCTTTACTAATGACTGTTCTCTGACCTCTTAATAGCTCAGCCTGTTGGAGGCTAGTCTCTCTGTAGGTTTGTGCTCTCGACCTATCTTAAACTGAAATGGAGTAGAGGGCAGAGGCTGTGGGATCAGAGGCACAGTCAAGTCTCTGGAGCTATATTTGAGGCTGGCTGGTGGGGTTTGCTCTGAAAGCAATTACGATCCTGGGTTCTCCTGGGAACCATAAATAGGATCATACTGATGAGTCTGGAGTCGGTGTGTGGGCTGGAATTGACTGAGACTAGAACCAGAGAGCCGTACTCCTAACCACTACTGCTGCTGCAGCTTTGGAAGTTACATCAGTGTCTCTAGTTTAAAACAACTCTTGATTTAATCTCAATATTTTATTTAAAAAATGCTGGACTATCCTAACATACACAAACGGGCATGCCAAAACATATCTTCTAGATTAGATGATTTTTAATGTAGAATACAATATGTGTGCCCTCTAAAAAGATGACACAAAACCCCTTCCTTCCTCCCTGACAGAGTACAACAATAGATTCAATATTTTAAATAGTAATGCCCCATTTAAAAAAGAAGAAACGATAACAAAAAATTATGTAGTTAAAGAAAATCTAACGGGTACAAAAAACTCTTTTACTGGAACTCAAATTCCTTTAAATACTTTCAGGTTTTGAACTATGAAAAGATTTCAAAGATTGAGTTCAATCTCTGTCAAAAAAAAAAAAAAATATCTGCCTCTAAATATCATGGCTGTGCCCCAGATTCTACCCTGACAAATCTTCAGAATGAGAATCAGGGTAATTGGAGACATTCCCATCGTCTCCCCCCGCCCTCTTCTCCTTAGAGGTAATGTCTACATGGGTTGCCCAAGTGGCAACTTCTGATGTTTAAAAATGAAGTCAATTTTGAAATGCAAAAAACTGCAGTTCCTCAAGTGTTCGCTCCAAGAGACCCGAAAGTCACACAGACATGTTTATAGTCTATGGGGTTGCCATGTAACAGACACAGAAGCTTCAGTTTTTAGCCAGCTCTGCATCGATCTTGAAACCGCTGTGTCCATTTTTCAAAATAATCTCCAAAATGTATCCTACTTTTACCACATTTCTGGTCATAGAGCTTATTAGAAAACTACTCAGG